ACTAATCAAGTAAGAAGGTATTGTTTCAATTATTTATAACCCTTATAAAAAGATCTGCACACATAAATAAAATAAATATCAAGATTTTAAAAATTGGGTTCGATCGGCGGTGCAACCAGTTAAATTGTGAACCGGTCGGTTGGTCGGTTCGTTCGGTTCCATCAAATAATTATTTTCGCAAAAAAAAATTGGGTGTTGGACTGTCGGATCAACAGTCGGGCTGTGGAACGAGAGAATTGGGGCCGGTTTTAAAAAAACAGCACAGTTCGCCATCGGGCGTCGGACGCCGAACGAAATGCTTAGAGGCCAACACGATTTTGGAGAACGGGATGCTTGAACGCCGAACGTAATGCTTGGGTTAGACGTCGATTGGGCATCGGATCATCGTGCGATCAAGAACACAATGCTTGGGCGCGGTTCACGTTTGAGCGTTGGACGTCGAACATTATGATTGTGTCGAATTGAATGGGAGGGATGGATCTGTGCATATAGTTGTCACATTGTCGAATGGCTTGTTCGAGCAATTGTGGTCTAATAATGACAGCTGATGGCAGTGATCATCGTTGTCAATTGTTAGATATGACTCTCAAATTCCTTAGATCTCTAGGCTCTCTTCAATTTCACATTTCTCTCAATAGTATCACTAAATTTTTAGCTATCATTCAAGTATTCATTTTCACTCATTGATTCAAATCAAACCACTTTTGAGTTGTCGGACACTTTCTATTAAAATTTTTTATTTAGGCTATTTATTTATTGAAATAAAGTATGAATATTCATTAATTCAATTCTAAAAAATTTCATTTTAAATAGTACATCAGGATTCGTGCTTAATTGCATGATTTTTTTTGTTTGACATATCACTTGCAATTATAATAGTTGTGTGTCGGAATATTCACAACAGTAGAGAGATATATAGTTTAGTATTCTTGTTTTGTACGAATATTCAACATAGATAGATAAAAAAGAGGAGTGCAAGAGTCATAAGAGACACAAAAATTTTAATGTGAGAAACTCTGAAGAAAAGAAAATCACAGGGTCTTGCCCAGTTGAAAATGAATCCACTAATGTTTGTCGATGATTACAAATGGTGCCCTTCATTAGGGGAAGACCTTATCTCAATGTAGTAAATATACATCATATAAAGCATATTACATGATTGGAGTTAGAAGAACATAGTGATATGAGAGGTATTTCTCAAAAGAACATTTGCCTATTCATTTGGTTGATATGACCATAGTCAGGCGATGGAGGTCGAAGAGATCGTAGTCGGATGACTAAGGTCAGGCGAATCATAGTCGGGTGATAGTGGTTAGAGGGATAATTGTGGGGTTACCAAGGTCAAAGAGAGCGTTGCCAGCGGGCGACAGAGGTTAGAGGACCGTAGTCCACGTGCGAAGGAGGTCGAAAGGACTGTAGTTGGTGGACAACTGAGGTCGGAGGGATTGTAGTTGGTGGGCAACCGAGGTTCGAGGGATCGCAATTAACAGGCGACAGAGGTTGGAGGAACTGTAGTCTGCGGGCGAAGAAGGTTACATGGACTATAATTGGCAGCCAATGGAGGTCGGGGGGATTGTAGTCGGCTGGCAATGATGGTCGAAGGAATCGTAGTTAGTGGACGATGGTGGTCAGAGAGACCATAATCGACAGGCGATGGTTGTTAGCGGGATCATAGTCAGCAGGTGATAATTGTCAGACAAAGGCCTCACGATGGCTGTCAGAAGGAGGTTCAATGGAGATGGTCCGGTAGAGGTCCAACAACGACAGCTTAGTAGCGAGGGTTTGTTGGCGGTGGTGCCAGGGTTGATCTCTAGGATGCTTCTAGTTAAAGAGCTCTCTTAAGTCACTAATCCAGGGTTTATGCCCTCTTTCATGCAAGAAGATGAGTATATTTATAGATTTTGAGAGTGACATGCACTGTAAAAATTAAGAAGAAAGAGGGCAGATTCAGAGTGTTCTATTGAACGACCCATATTAATTCTCTTAATCATGGAGTGTTTGTTTAGCATTAAGTACATTAATGATTTCAGAATTAAGAGATATTGAGCTCGTTTGATTCACCTCGTCGAGTCGCTTGATTTGACTATAAATATGTTATATTTGGACATCATTTGATCATTCAATTAACGTACTAAAGCTTCCAAATATTATTTGATCCCTTGATTTGGACCCATTTGGGCTCAAACTAGACCGATTTTGGTGTTATTTGATTCGTCTCATCAAGACATTCAATTTGAGTATAAGTTCGATGAAATCATGATTTTGGGTGGTCCCAATTTAATTTTGAAAGTTGCCAACTCATCTTTTCTTTGAGATTTGTGTTTGCCCAAGGCAATTTCTTTTTATGTATCAACAATGCTCATAAAACTTTTAAATAGTAATATTATCTAATTTATTAAGGTTTTTTTTTTTTAATTTGAAGATTCTTACAAAATTCCCCCAAAAAATAGATTCATATAACAAAAGTCATATTTGAAAAAAAAAACTTAAAGCTGAATTATTTTTTAGGCATTAATTAAATTAGTAAATTAAAAAATAAAATAAAAAGTATTATAAAAAAATTAAAATTGAACAGATCTTACATTGACCTCATTTCCTGTGCCTGTGTGAATGCAGCAGCTAGCTTGGACTTTCAAACTTGAATTATTATTATAATTATTAACAAGAAACAAAATCGCTTTCAATAGTCCCTATTAAGGAACTTTTTTTCCTCAGTTGTATTCACTAAAACTGAGTAAAACAACACGTGTATTCAGTTTTTTTTTTTTTTTTTTTTTACATTTAGGTCAATTAAGGTAGATTGACACACACGTCGCATACATAAGACTCGAACTCAATACCTCTAAGTTGGTAGCCTAAACTCCCAACCAACATACAAATGTGAGTTGTGTGTATTCAATAGTCCCTACTAAGGAATTTATTGATATACAACTCATCATGGTCTGTAGATTGGGAGCTTAGGCTACCAACTAAAATGTCTTGGATTCAAATTTTGTGTATGCGATGTGTATGAATCTGCCTTAACAGCGCATTTCATTTTATTGTATTACAACTTCTTTGATGTTTGATATAAAACAAAGTAATTGAAAAAGTTAGGGGATTTGAAATAATTTAAAACCTATGTTTTTATGATTTTAAAAAATCAGTAAAATCTTATGTTCTTCTAGCATTTGAATCACACACAGCAGTAGCTTATGATTCGCAGCTCTGCAGCCAATCACTACTGTTCAAGTACTATTGTCATAACTTATTGCCACTTTATGACGACATTATCTCTCGACATAGCTGCCCAATGCTATTTACATCGCCTTTGTTGTTGCAACCACTTTCCCTTTTAAGTATTTTAATGTATTTGAAATGCGTCATGCAAATACAAACAACATTACGGTGAATTTGATTTGTATCTAACCAAAATACTCATAATATAAATAATATATTAAATTAATCTTAAACATTATGTCCACAAAAAAAAAAAAAAAGAGACTATACATTCTTGCACTTCTTAAACCAAATTGATATTGTTAGGTATAGATGTTTAAGATTTTGTGATTAAAGGCGCAAAAGCTACTTCTAAAAGCCTCCTAGGCATCAAGTGCAACATACTTGTTGCGGCAGAATAGTTATACATATTATTGTAATGAGTGACTAACAAACTATTAAACTAATGTGGTGACTATTTGGCTAAAATAAAATTCTTGCTAGAATATTGGGGACATAATGATAGTTTTTTTCTATAAAGAAGGGTTTGATGGCTTGGGGAGTAGTGAAATCTCACTAAAGCCTATAAATATAGAAGGGTTTGATGGCTTGTTACGTAGGGGGGCAAGGAATGAAAACTTGATCTTAAGCATCTCATCAATAAATTGTGAGGCAATGAGCTACTCAAGCATATGCATAACCTTTTATATCTTATATTAACTAGCATGAGTAACCTCAAATACATTTGTGATTGAAAATATATCCACTTGCTATGAAGGATAATTCGAGTAACATTGATTGAAAATATACTAAATTATTGAATTTTATATTAAGATTTGTAAACAAGTCGAGTCAAGAACTGATGAGTTGAGCTAGGGTTAGTTCAAGTTTGACGTGTTAGTCATTGAGCCTAGCTCACAAGTCATCTATCAAGTCGAGCTTGAGCTATCTCATGAGACAACCTGATCAAATCAGATATTTTGTTTTAAAAATGATTTTCTCTCTCCTCAAAACGAGCTGATTTTCTTATATCATAAAGCTGATCGGCCCGGCCGATCGCCAGATCGTCCTGGGACGATCAGACCAAATTCGATCGTCCTGGACGGTTCCCAGAACTATTCTCAGGACGATATTTTGAACAGTACAGATCGGCCTGAACGATCTCAATATCGTCCCGGACGATCCTGGGAGGAAAATTCAATCTAGAGAGAAACTGTAAGGGAACGAGGTCTCACAGGGTCAACCCAACAACCCGTCGGGTCTGATCCGGGTTCTGATTTTCAACCCGTTTTCATACCCAAGTTGGGTTAGGATCGACCCGTTTAAATCCGGGTCAATTTTGGATACGACCCGAACCCGACCTATGGCTTGAAATTGACACTCCTAATCCTTTACAAACATTAAAGTATTAGACATACTACTATGTTTGTGCATATCATGCTTGAATACAAAATTCAAGAAATAAATATTACATAACCTCTCCTATAAAACACCGTAAATTCGTCTAAGAAATATTCTCACCATTAAACTACTCTCCTATGTATTATATTCAATCAATGTTGATATAGTATGATAATTGCAAAGAAGTATCATATAATTTTTTTTCAAAAGTATAAGAAAATTTTAATTTTTATGATAATTTTTTTTTTCATAATAACTATAAACTATTTTATTTTTTGAAGGATAACCCTTCTCTTCCTAAAATGGAGGTCTCTTAAAGATAAATTAAATTTGATTTTTGATCATGGAGGGGTTATGTTGTAATAAAAAATGCTAAAGTGGATGTCTATGCTAAGAAAATTTTGAAGGGGTTATGCGTGCAAAACATCTAGGGTTTCTCTCCTTGCAGTCACCGGCCGCAGGCATACGACTGGCCTCACTACGCTGCCGATCCTTTTCTGCTCCTTTGTTCCGCAGCTCGCTCTTGTCCTCCTCCCTTCTTTCTTTATCGCCTGCTTTCTCTAGCACACCCTTTAGCTCTCTTTATCGTTCTCTCTTCGCTTCCCTCCCGCCTCCTACTCTCCAACTCTCTTGCTTCACTATTTGCTTACTGCGTCGCTCCGTCTGCTTTGTAAGAGAAGCGCAGATAAACTTGGGAGGAGGGATGCTGGACATCAACCTCTTCCGTGAGGACAAGGGCAATGACCCGGAACGAATACGCGAATCACAGCGCCGCCGCGGCGCCTCCGTCGAGATAATTGATGAGGTCATCCGCCTTGACAAGGAATGGCGCCAACGTAATCATCGCCCAAAACCTCTCCTTTCTTTACTTTCGTACTTGTCCTGGTCCGGAATTCTGACATCCGACTATTATCCGCTTGCTCTGCAGGACAATTCGAGCTTGATTGTCTCCGGAAAGATTTCAATCGTATCAATAAGGAAATCGCGCAGCTGAAGATCGTGAGTTCTCGATATTTGTTGATATGTTTTAGAGTGGATTATTATGTTGGTAGTGGCAGGATTTACCGAATTGGAGGTTGAAGAGGTTTGTTCATGGGTGAAGGCAAAGAAAGATGCGTCCGAGAAGATAAAGAGCACGGAGGAAAACAAGAGGCTTGCAACGGAGAAGACCGAGGAGGTGCTGCAAGCAAAGGCTACTCTTGAAGCCAAACTGATGATCATCGGGAATCTCGTGCACGATTCTGTTCCTATTAGCATGGATGAGGTTGGGTTTCTGTTGTTGAAGAGAAATATAATACATGAATGAAAAGAGGTCACTGCAATAAACTTCTGGTGATGTTTGCAGGCAGATAACCAGGTAGTGAGGACGTGGGGTGAGAGGCGGATGGAAGGGAAGCTCAGAAGCCATGTGGAGCTTGTAGAGAAGCTTGGCATTGCTGATTTAAAGAAAGGTACCCTTTAGATTTATTTTTTCTCCAATTTAACCATGGATTGACAAAAAATCCTAATAATGGCAAAAACTATTGATTTTAGTTTATGGTCAATAGGTCCTATCGAAGTTAAGTAGCAGTTTGTCTCTTTATACACCTATTGATGCTAATGTGAAAGAGTTTTAATTCTTGTTAATGCCTTGATAAAGAGAGAACAATTGAACTTAGGAGAGAGGGGCCAAAAGTGAGGAGGGGGGAGAGAAATATGGCACTTGGTCTAGAGACAAAGAGGGAAAGAGGGATTTGAAGGGATGGGAGAGGCTCATGAGTCATGAGTAACCCTTGCTTCAATTTTAATTCATAATATCATATTAATTGCATTTATTGAAAATCTCTTACATTCGACCTCTTTTTGCAAGCTTTAAAGTAATTAGGAAACAAACAATAGGGGAAAAGAAAAACATCAATAGGAATCCACTACATGATACATCTTCATATGGAAGGAGTCCTTAAATAGGGAAGTCTTTGTGAAGGGAATCCTTCTCAATAATTAAAAAAAAATCATGAACTTTCATTATAATACTTATAACAAACATATTAGTGATCATTTAAAGATCAGGTTTTGTATAAACTCTCTTGGAATTAAGAACTCTTCCTTGATGTCCCTTGATGTCCATGGAGGTGATGGGTGTGGAATAGGCTTGTGTGGAGTTCTCAGTGCTCCTAAAGAAAATATATTGTGTTGTTTGGAGGATGTGTAAGGAGGGTCTCACCTATCATCACAAACCTGTCTATCCATATACGACTTAGCAATTGGTTGATGATTTGGGGCTTTGGATTTGATTGTAGCAATATATCATGATGATTTGGAGGCTTTGGATTTGGTTATTGCAATATGTCATACAAGTGTATCCAGGCATCAACATAGGCAAGTGCCCTGTGATAGTATGATTGTGCTAACAGTGATAACACAAAGTTAACTTGTAGGACTTGTGATGCATTAGATAGTAGCATCAATAGTTAAGGAAAATCTCATATATCAATCTTTGGGGCAATAGAGCAACATCAATTTGTGTGTGTGGCGTAGGCTTAACAACATTCTTGAACACAACTTGAAACTCAAGCTAAGGCATTATATCATACTCAAGCTCATAAAGTATATCTAATAGTTGATCAACATCCTTATCTAGATGGTTGTGAAAGCTGGCGGGGCTATGGAGCTAGGTGGATTATTTGGGATTTAAGGGTTTAGTGGAATGAGTGGAGTATGAGGGACTGAATAGAGTCATTTGGTAGGTGGAGTTTGTCTGATTGGAGAGATTCTTGGTGATTATTAGGAGTCTTTTGTCTGTGTAATGTAGCAATCTAGCTTGTCTAATGAATCACTAAGTCTATAATCCTTATCCAAAGTGTGGTGATCATGCGCATGAGAATTAGAGACTCGAGAACATCTAGGAGTAGACTTGCTAACATAATATGAAGTATTATAGTGTACATGTGGAGAACTACGGGATGAATGCTAGTTTTTGTAATCATGCTATGATTTATATGATGATTTTGTTTTAAAATAATGCATATATATCTTCTACAACTTCAACTAAAGGGCTGTGACATGTGAATAAAATGAGCTAGGATACTTGTTTTGGTAATAATGCGCCTATATATGAGCATTTATATATAATATATAATACATCTATATAACATATGTCTAATACATCTACAATATTTATATTTATTTATTTACTTAATTGAAAATTGATTTCAAGCCAACTAAAAAGTAGAATGATCTCAATTTCTTGTCAATTTGAAGTCAAACATTTATTTTTTGTTTCGGGTTTGAGTTTAGCATAACTCTCTCGAACTTGACTCGATATTACCCTAGATTTGAAAAATACATCAATCATTTGAAGATCTAGGAATTTTGATAAGGTCGAATGCAATAACCTTGCAAGACAATGATAAGAATAAGGGAAAGAGATTACCCTAAATATGATCATTCAAACCTATTAAGGCATCTTGCATTCACCCCTTTCCTTGCAGAATAAATTAGAGAGGAAACACTATTATCAAGAAAAAAAATGAGATAAATAGAGAATGGCATCCTATTTAATAATTGGAAAGATAGGATTGGAGGGCTGCATATGCCTTTATTGGATGGATGACAAATGACCTCAAGGGAAGATAGAGAGAGATAGAGAAATCAAATGATAGAATAGGAGAGAGACATTTGAATTCAAAACTTATTTACAAGCTAAGAAACATTTAATTCTCTAATAAAGAAAATAAGAAAATTCTTTGGAAATTTAATTCTAGCCTAAAAGTAGGAATTACTTTGAAACTATCAAGATATGATAATATATAGCCTTTCTAGATAGGCTGTTTGATTATACAAGACTTCTTTAAATGCTTATCATAGTTATTTTGATAATTGAATGGAAATTTTCTAGATATAATAAAAGAATATTTTTTTTTGAATCCCTCTTAATAAGTGGTTGATCATGGAGAGAGATTTATTGAGTTCAATTTGGTGTATTCTTTGATTACTTGTGGTTGCATAGAAACTTTTTCACTCATCCTCTTCTAGTGGCTTAACTCGTCCTTGCATGTAGAAATTGTTTGATGTAGCGAGTAATAGGCTCTTTCGCTGTTCAAGAATTCTTCCTACATCTGAATTAAATCACTTCTCATTAAAGAATTTCTTTTTAGTTGTTCTAGAACAATAAGGGCTCTCCTTTGATTTGAAGGAAAAGAATAAGCTGTCTTGTTTAGTGGCCTGGCTTGAAATAGCCTCTAGCATGGGTGCCACATTCCAATCCCTTCTTCATACCTCCTAAGGAAAATCCTGAATTGGATCCAAAATTGACGGGTTAGTGTGAGCTTATCCATGCGGTTATGCACTCATCAAATAGGAATCCATTTTCTGAAAGATCCCAGCTTTTGTGCTTTGGTGAGTCGTCCGAGATCTTTTTACTCTTTAGGTGGTCGATGTAATTCCTCATTGATGGGTTGAATTATGGAGTTAGATTTTGAATTCTTCAAAGCCCAAATATTTCTCCAATATTCATTCTAATCCTCATGTTTAAACTCTTTATTTTGAACCCATTTGGTATAAATTAAGATTCCAACTTAATATCCGTAGGTACTAGATTCCATTGGCATTGATTTGACATGTTTACAGCTTGGATTTTATTTTTTTCTGAATTTTGTACCAATTGGTATGAGCTAGTGTTTAGAGTGCCTCTCTGATCATAATTTCCCCCGTTAAGCTCAGGCGTCCTTGGACGGGGATAGCGATCCTGAAATTTGCATCTACAAATCATTTTTTGTCAGTAAATTCCTACAAATCAGTTTTTGTCAGTAAATTCTAGTACCAAACTTGATCTAAATCCACACAACAAGGATTAGTGTTTAAAACCTTTTAAGTGGATTGGAGGCAGCCTTTGGGTTTTATTTGTGAATTTGTGTCTATTACATTAGCTTTTAGGGTATTATTGTCTTCCTCAACCTAACTATCTAGAGCAAAAGAATTTCAATCAACAAATTGATTTCCTTCTAAATGATTCAAAAAATCGTAAATAGATCACACAAGTCTTCCCAAGAATTTTAGGGTCTCCTATCAAATGGATCTTAGAGTTAAATAAGATGGCCAATGCAAGTGAATTATTAAATTTGCATTAGCGATTAGTAATAACATAGAGAATTATGTTAACTTACTAATAGATAGTGAAAGGATATTAACAAAAGAGCAGAAGGAAGTTACTGACTATTTTAGATACTATCTCTATATACTGTAAACCTCCATATCCTTTTCCCTGTGAATTCCTGCTACTGTACAACCGATGTCTTATTTTCTAGACTATAACAATGAGGATTGTGGTTTGGGTAGAGAAACAAAGGGGAGAACAAGAGGGAAGCTTGGTTCTCTCTCTGAAATATTTGAAGCCATCAGCTTCAGGAAAGAGGCAAATTTGCCTCTGTTTTTGGACTTGATAGAGATGGCTTATGACTACGCGGAGATGGAGGCTATCTTAGGTTCTGGACTTGTTATGCACGTTGAGTAAGAGGCAAGGGAGAGTAATTAGGATCAAGTAATTGATTTTATTTCATCTCTAATCTTGAATTTTTTTTTAGATTTGGTCTTTTTTAATAAAGATTCAAAAGAAAAAGGGTTAGAAATAACTCAAACTCAAATTAAAATTCAAATCCAAAGCTAGCTAAAAACAAGATATTGAACGGACCAAATATATAACTATTCATTGAAGACAGGAACCAAAACAGGAAAAATATGAACTACTTCTACAAGAAAGTAAAAGCTTTCAAAATTTTCTTGAATTACTTCTCCACATGGCCAACCCATGTAGAATATATTATGTTATTTTCTATTTTAACGCAATACTCTACAATTAATGCCTTCGTTTTGGGTAATCCCAACTGACCCCTCCACTAGATTTGGAGTTTTGAATTGATCAATTCCATCAAGGAACCCTTTGGAAAATTTTGGAGATATGGAAGCTTTTAAACTAAATTAAAAAACTCCAAAAAAATTCTAAGAATTTATGTTTTTTGGCTTCTTCTTAATCAATAGTTAGAAGATCATATGGTACTTATGTGTGTTTGGTTAACCGTTTTTAATTTAGTATACAAAGGATTGGAGATATGGCTATTATTTCTGAAATTAAAGTTTTTTTTTAACATGAACATATGCCTCTAGCATATTATGTTTTTAGATAATATCATTGAGACTAAAATGTCAATTCTATAAAATCATAATAGTCTGTCTATATATATATGTGGATCTTAGTGTTGGGTAATAAAAGAAATTTAAAGTTAAGTTGAGTGTGGCAAAACTTAGAATATTATGATGTAGATTTGAAAATATTTGAAAAGATAAAGTGAAAATGAACATATTAAAGAAACAATGAGAGTAACGCTTAATCGCTTATTGAAGTTAAGATAGTGGCAAAAAAGACTGAGGATAGTAGATGCATTGATGCAATTTAGTATATTTAACTTAATATAGAAGTATTTGGAAGATATTGGGTTAGGCAAAGATAATATGGTCTGAAGTCATGCAATGATTTTGGCATAAATTAGAATTAACATCTCATTTAGTAGCCAATGAAAATGAATGAATAAGATTCATAATGCCGACTCCAATGAATTGGGAAAAAGCTGATGATATTCCTTAAGTTTTGGGGTGTCCCTCCAGAGGTGAGGTTTTATTGCTTTCTATAATAAACAATTTATTAGTATTTGAAGGATATTTTTTTTAGCATTTGTGCATGCCTTGGGGAGTACTGAGATCTATTGTTCGTGTGTAAGGCCTTTGAAAATGATCCAAACGAGGGTAACTAAAATTGGCTGACCAATCACGTTGTGATCTGTCCTCTGTTGATAGCACCAGTGCCGAAGAAGTAAGTATCAGATACAGCCACATTCCTTTTCCATTTTTTTTTTGTTTTAGATTCATGAACGTTTACAATTTAGAAGAAAATAAAGCTTTTGGCCGCAACAATGGCAAGTGTGATCGAGATAGATATTCATGCAATGAGTTTACAACAACAACAACAACAACAACATCAAGCCTTTATCCCACTACGTGGGGTCGGCTACATGAATCCTTTTTCTCCATTGTGTCCTATTAAAAGCCAAATTCTCGTTTAAATCTAATAAAGAAAGGTCATTCCTAATATTTTCTAACCAAGTCTTTTTAGGTCTACCCCTACCTTTCTTAACACAAGTCAAATCTAATACCTCTACTCTCCTAACCGGGTCGTCGGAAGGCCGCCTTTTTATGTGACCAAACCATCTAAGGCGACTCTCTCTAATCTTATCTTCTACTGGAGCTACTCCAACCTTTTCACGTATATGCTCATTTCGTATCCTATCTCTAAGGGTAAAGCCACTCATCCATCTAAGCATCCTCATCTCTGCCACACTTAACTTAGTATTATGCTTCACTTTTAATGGCCAACATTCGGCACCATAAAGCATTGCAGGCCTCACTACCATCTTATAGAATTTTCCCTTAAGTTTGAGGGGTACATTTCTATCACATAACAAGCCCGATGCATTCCGCCACTTCAACCATCCAACTTGAATTCTGCTGATAATATCCCCATCTATTTCACCATCACTCTGAACAATAGATCCAAGATATCTAAAACGTGTACTCTTATTAATGACTTGATAGCCCAAAGTCACAATCCCCTCACTAGGACTATTACTACTAAAATTACACTCCATATATTCCGTTTTAGATCTACTCAAGCGAAAACCTTTAGACTCTAAGGTTGACCTCCATAATTCAAGTTTACCTTCAACTCCCTCTCTAGTCTTATCAACAAGAAGAATATCATCAGCAAAAAGCATACACCAAGGTACATCATCTTGCAAATGTCTAGTGAGAACATCCAAGACTAAAGCAAAAAGATATGGGCTTAAGGCTGATCCTTGATGTAACCCAACCGAAATAGGGAAATACTTGGTCAAACCACCTTGTGTTTGAACACAAGTAATAGCTCCTACATACATATCTTTAATGATTTGAATATAAGCATTATTAACTCCTTTCTTTTCAAGCAGAAATCTTTACTTTCATTTAGGGTGCTAAGGTCACTATAGTCAATCTTATTTTCACACTCTTCATTAAAAAGTTTAGCAAAATATCTCATCCACCTTTGTTGAATATCATCTTCTAAGAAAAGTATTTTTTGATCTTCATCCTTAATACACTTCACTTGAACTAAATCCTTACTACTCCTATCTCTTTGTTTGGCTAACTTATACATATATCTTTCTCCCTCCTTAGTATTTAATCTATTATAAAAATCGTTAAAAGCTAATGTCTTTGCATCGCATATTGCTTTCTTAGAATCCTTACGAGCCACTATATATAATACCCAATTATCAGAATTTTTAAAATTAAACCAATTTTTATAACAAATCTTCTTATTTTTAATCTTTTCTTGCACAATTGGATTCCACCACCAACTATTTTTACTATTAGGAGCTTTTCCCTTAGATACTCCAAGCACATCTTTTGCAATATTCTTAATATCACTAGCCACTTTTTCCCACATAACATTAGCATCCTCATGCACAGACAAAATCTTAAGATCTAAAATCTTACTCACAAAAATATTTTGGTTAATATTCTTTAAATGCCCCCATCTAATCCTCGAAAAACGTTTTACTTTATTTTTTATTTTATGCCCCTTTATCTTAAAGTCCAAAACTAATAATCGATGTTGGGTACCTTCATGCAATGAGTTTGCTGATCGAAATTTCTCTGTCCGAGGCTTTTGCGTCTATTCTATGGGATCATTTCTGAAAAGATCATACATAGTATGACAATGAAATGTCCTAAATTATATTAAATCAGATTCCATGAGCAATGGGGCCTTATCTAGGCAATAGCTGCCACCTGAGTCCATAGGTATTGCAGGATCGGTCAGTTGTTTTGTTTTCTAGACCAATTTAATGCTTGCTGTCCCAAAAAAAAAATTTAATGCTTGCATATGAAAATATCTCTTCGTTAATTTTATCTGTAACTTAAAGTTGTCTGGCTTGTCTTTAAGATTATGGTAAAACTGTGAGGTTCGGGCGACCTGTCATCAATTATTTGTTGGCAAAACACTGAACTAATTTCCTCTTAAACAGGCCATGCATGGAACTTCCTTTCATGCTTTGTTTTGTTTCACGAATCTATGCTATTTTACATTGTAGGAGCTACTGTAGCTGGAGGAAGAGGTTATTATTTGAAGGGCGATGGTGTCCTTTTGAACATAGCACTGATAAACTTTGGTTTGGTATTTCTGAGAAAGAAGAACTATGAACCACTTCAAACTCCCTTTTTCATGAGGAAGGATATCATGGCAAAATGTGCTCAGCTTGCTCAATTTGATGAAGAGCTCTACAAGGTGAATACTAATGAGTTTATGTGTATTTCTTGCTCTTGTTGAAATACTAGTTATTTTTCAGCATAGTATAACCCGATACCTGTTGCATTAGGATTCAACCTATGTGAATCCTTGGAAAGAGGTTCTATATGCTGCCTGACCTATGTAGCTTGCAAAAGGGCTTGTTCCTTAACCTCTTGATCATGTTGGAAGCAATATAAAAACTTCTCCTTGGCGCTTTTCACTATGAAACAAATTGCTTATAATGATAATATCTTGGGAATTTCTCCATAGCTTTGACTTTTCACGGTTTCAAGTTTCTTTTTAGTGCTGTAGGTTTATCAATTAGAGGATCTGAGCAGAAGCAGTATAATGTGTTTCTAACACTTTGCTAACATGTGGTTTTGTCATCTTCTCTGCCCTTGTTAGGTCGGCTATGATTATGGTAGGGTACTTAGATGATTTGTTTTTTAGTACCAAGATCTCATTTGTTCCTCTGAAGTTTCTCACTTATATTTACTGAAAAGTTATATTTCTATCTTGACTCTGTCCTATCCTTTTCTTGATGTATTAGAGAACAAAAGCTCACGTTACTAGGCTTTAACTTTTACTACTTTAAATAATTTGTATATCTGGCAGATGCCATTTAATTTGATTGTCAGGCTAAACTGGTTTTACTTGTTCTCGAGGCTTACTATTCCTTCCACAAATTAGAAAACCCCTTTTAAACCTTCTTTTTTTGCATGTCCTCTTCGGTAAAGTTAACATTTTTTATGTTGAAGATTGGGAAGAATCCACATGAGCATTATTTGTATTGTCTGCAATTTTACAGTAATCCACATGCATGCCATTCTGGTTAATGGATGACTTTATTAGTTTACCTTCTTCAGGTTACAGGCGAGGGAGAGGACAAATATCTTATAGCTACTTCTGAACAACCATTATGTTCATATCATCTAGAGGAACGAATCTATCCCACGAGCTTACCATTAAGGTATTGTCACCTTCAATTTGTTTCAGTTGTGCTCCATCAATTTTGTTTTGCAGTCAATCTTATGGGTAAGATTTCCAGAGATGAATTAGCACTACTAATCCATTTGTTAGTACTTCTTAGATATGCTGGATATTCAACCTGTTTCCGAAAGGAAGCTGGATCTCATGGGCGTGATACATTGGGCATTTTTAGAGTTCATCAGTTTGAAAAAGTGGAGCAGTTCTGTATCACAAGCCCAAATGACAATGAGTCTTGGCTGATGCTTGAAGAGATGCTTAAAAACTCGGAGGAATTCTATCAGGAGGTAGATATTAATTAGTTTCCTATGGTGCCTTCTTTTGTGACAACTTCCTTTATATTTACTTATTTTGTTTGTTGGTTAAAATTTTCACCTTTTGCAGCTTAAGATACCCTACCAGATAGTTGCTATTGTATCCGGAGCTTTGAATGATGCAGCTGCCAAGAAATACGACCTTGAAGGTTGGTTTCCTGCATCAAAAACATACAGAGAGCTTGTGTCTTGTTCAAATTGCACGGATTATCAGGCGAGGAGGTTAGGGATTGGATATGGGCAGAAGAAGGTAAGTTTCTTTTAATTAAAGCTGTTACTACAACAACAACATCAAGCCTTTGTCCCACTACGTGGGGCCGGCTACATGAATCTTTTTTCATCATTGTGTCTTGTTAAAAGTCAAATTTTCATTTAAATCTAATAAAGAAAGATTATTTCTAATCTTTTCTAACCAAGTCTTTTTAGGCCTATCTCTACCTTTCTTAACATAAGTCAAATTTAATACCTCAACTTTTCTAACCGGGTCATCGGAATGCCTTCGTTTAATGTGACCAAACCATCTAAGGCGACTCTCCTTAATCTTATCTTCCATTGGAGCTACTCTAACCTTTCACGTATATGCTCATTTCATATCCTATTTTTAAGGGTAAAGCCACTCGTCCACCTAAGCATCCTCATCTCTGCAGCACTTAACTTAGTATTATGCTCATGTTATTGTAAAATAACTTTTGTATTGAGTTGAGGTAAAAAAGTGTTGGAAAATTTGAACAATTAAATACATTTCGTGCATGAAAAATAAGATCTATTTCAAATATAACTTGCAATTATCAATCGACTTGAAGATGTTTATAAAGTACAAATTAATATGAAGCAAATTAAATAAGTCGAGAAATGCAAGCTTTTGAAGATTTTTTATCTTTGCCGTTAAGAGGAAAAGAACATTCCTTCCGTATGAAATTCACTGCCACAGTTGCTACCAAAGTTGCTTTTGTGGCATATTCTTTGCTTCAACCATAGCACAATCTGATAGAAGCGTCACTTTGTGCCCAAAAAGTTGTAAAACCCAATAACATAGGGTATGAGGAAGACTCGGTATTCGATTGGAACAACTTTGTTACTGTATTTTAAAACAACTTTTTAATATAAAATTTTCTAATTCCAGAAATTTTTATACTAAAAATTTACTTTATAAAGCAATAAAAAAGTTGTCCCAAACGAAACCTTATGCTTCAGCTTCATTTGGGACGTCTTTATTACTGTTTCTTAAAGCAATTTTCTAGTACTAACAATCTGCTTTAAGAAGCATAAAGAAAAATGTTACAAACGAAGCCCTAATCTCAAACAGAGTTAAGATCGAATAGTTTTATATATTCAAAAGCAATTTTATATTCAAGAGGAGATTCATAAAATTACCACCATAATATTAAAATAAAAAATAAAATCCCAATCCATATTTTTAATTTCCATCAGTTTTCTACTAGCTTGGTCGCAGCATGCATAAATGCATATAGCTTATTTTTCCATCGTTTTCCTCCATCTGCAGAATGATGAGCAATCCAAGCAATTTGTGCACTTGCTGAACTCAACCCTGACAGCAACAGAAAGAACAATTTGCTGCATACTTGAAAACCATCAACAGGAGGATGGAGTAACAGTCCCAGAAGTACTGCGACCCTATATGTGTGGCATTGAATTTCTGCCTTTTAAGAAATGAGGAAAGGTCAGACCCAAATTCCCTTTTACTCTTCTGATCAAAAGACAATTTTGAATCCAGCTGAGCTTTTCAAGGCTGATTTTGGAGCTGTTTAAGGATTTTTATTTATTGGCCTGTAAGGCATGGAAAGTGATTTGACCTGGGAAGGAATATTTGCCTTCATAACTTTGAATTTAATAATTATGAATTGTATTGAAATTATGGTGGCCTTTACATGCAAAAAACTATGTTGATTGTCATTCAGTTAATACTGTGTGAATTTTGATTGGAGTGGAGATGTTTTTGATATTGTTGTTGCTAAGATTCAGATTTGTGAATTATGAGGTAGATTTGAAGGGCATGTGGAGTTTTCCAAACTGAAAGTTAGAGATTTTTATTATATTTTTATTTGATTATAGTTTTATTATTATTATTATTATTATTTTTATTTTTATAATGAGAAGTATTTCATTATTAGATTTGTTACTGTGTGATATCTGTAATGAAATTATTTTCTTTTTTTTTTACTGAAGAAAAGAAATCTATCCACAACAGTTATACTTTTTTTCAAAATAAATTTTAACTAATTTCATAGATTTAGATTATTCAGACCGAATTCGGTTGGAGGTAAGCACTATTTTGATCCTTTAGAAAAAGTCAGGGGACTAAAATTTTGTTTAGGATGATTTTCTTATTGCTTCTTAAAGTAATTTGGACTACTATCAAATATGTGCTGTTTATACATAAAATTAGTTTTTAATTAATGACATTTTTTAAAGGAGTAGCTCGCTCTAACTAGTGATTAATTATTCCGTGCGGATGTCGAATGCCGTCCAAAGATCAATTATAAGGCGCCATGTCATCCTTTTGCTCGGTACCGTGGTTTGATATCATTGACGTGACGCTTTCTGGTTGGTCTCTAGACAACGTTCTGCCTCTGGTATTCGCAAAAAATAAATGTGACAGCCCGGTTTTATTGGGTTCTGATGAGTTGGTTCAATCGCCACCTGATGCTGTTATTTTGAATAATATTTCTGTGCATAAAGATTGTATTGTGGAAAATAATCTGGGTAACAATTCGATTTGTTCGGATAATCTAGTGGATGTCTCTGTTAACTTGGTTGATACGCAACATTTGGTTCAGCGTTTGGGTATTAATTATGGATCCGATTTCTCTAACCAGGGGGATTGGTTATATGGCTCTTCCGAATTTGAATCTGGTTCGGAGTTTTCGGATTGCAATTTGGCTAATCCGAATTTTTACGATGGTTCCGATCCGGAAAATGACTTTACCTTGGTGCGAGATAGTCCTGCTGTTTCTCGTGGGAGCGGGAGATTTCGCGGGAGGGGACGCCGGAGGGGGCGTAGTCGAAGATGATCTTTCTAGGTTTCTTGTCTTTATCTGTTTCTCTCTGTTTGATTTCTGAGGTTTTAAAGGCTATGATGTGGCTGGGGCTCGTGTCCCTGTGGCCGAGCTGGTTAAAGTATTAAATAAATAAATATTAAAATTTAATTATTAACGGTCTAAACCAAACTAATCTGCCCTAAATTACGCAAAAGCCCCCTAAGAGTCATCATATTTCCGTCCCTCTCCTCCACCACGCCACGCGTCCCTCTCGGAGAAAGAAAAACCGCCAGAGAGGCTACGGAGAATTCATTTCGCGGCTTTCTAAGGGTGTCGTAGTACCCATTCGAAGCAGAAGAGATGGAAAAGGGAATCGGGCAAGGGCTGCAGAGGAAATCGATGAAGCGGAGAAAGAGCAAGGGTTTCGCGAAGGCATTGGCCGAGTACCTCGTCTCCGACTCCTACATGTACGCGCCGCTCATCAACTCGCCGCTGTCAAAACCGCCAGTTTTACCGCCGGAGTATCCGTCTTCTACGGTTGAAGAGGCTGCATTGGACGCTTCTGCCCGCTCCTCTGCCACTCCAGGTGATTTCTAATTCGATTGCTTCAGTCTTCTTTCTTCGCCTGCATTTCACCCAAATCTCCTCAACTATCACAAAACTAGAATTCATCAAGCTTCAATTGCTGGCCTCCACAACAACACCCGATCCTTGCTGACACACAAAGCCTCTTATCAAGGAACTCCCAAACGTGCCCACCAAAAAGAACAAGAAACCTCTCTATAGTGTGATTATGAATATGGAGAAAGATGATGGTTATTCTTTGAAAATTTGAATGACAACTTTCTTGCCAAAATATAAACAATAAGAATTCACCTCTATATTATTCGAAATAGTATTGTATGAAAATTTTTGTTGCCATATTTTTTCCTTTAGGATCAATTTCACATAATATTATATTACCCTTATAAACTTGTTTAATGTGTAAAATTTGTAAGTATCTTGTAATCTAATTATAATATTAAGAACTTTATATGTTTTCTATCATAATTTGTTTTTCTTCTACACAGGTAAATTTTTGTATGAGATTTCTAGGAGTTTTATAGTTCAATTAACTACAATTTTTTTTAATTCATTTCCTAGTTGCAGTGAGCTTACATTGAAAATAAATATAGCATATCAAGAAAGCTCCTAAAGTTGCATACTTGACAAACAAGACGTGTATCCATCTGACATGATTGGTTAAAGCCAAGTTGGATGAGAGATCTCTATCTTAAGCTCCCCAAAGCTGGTTAAGCGTGTAGCCATACAGCCTGTGCTGACAACCCATGCCTATACAAAGGAGTATATCCTATGTCTAACAAACCAAAGGAGAATAATGTACAAATGCAATAAGGATTCTTCCCAGTCTTTCTGATCTGAGGATGAAAAATATTTCACTTTGTTCAAATTTCGAACAATCTAACAACAGTGAAAATAAATAGGTTTACAGGGAGCAGCTTAGATATGTCTACAATTAGGAGCTAAGCCAAGTTATGTAGTGTTTAGACTAGGCTTTAACAAATCTTTGTTGGAAAAATGCATGCTTGATAACATTTATGATCACGAGAATGAACAAAATAATATGCAAGAAAAACACCCAAAAAAAAAAGAACATAATAGAGTATGTGGTTTAATGAGATCTATTTATATCCACAACTACATAGAGAAAGGAAAAAAGTTTAGTGATTAACTACCACTAGATGATTATAAGATGAAATATATTTGCACTCTTCAAATATTCTCTTTTTGGTCACATTAGATTTTTTTCCTCTTTCTCAATCTCTTCACTCTCTTTATTTTATGTTATCTTTTTTTTTATTATTATTAAAACAATACAACAAAAAAAAAAAACAGAAAATATAAAGAAATCTCAAGAAGGAATAACATCAATAGCTATATGTATATATACTATATTATATACATAATATACCCTTATTTTTTCTATTTCTTCATAATTAAATAGTACTTGAGCTCCTTTGCTTTCCTTCACTATTTTAGTTGCAAGTCCTCACATTCGAGTGTCATTTCCTCTCCAAAAGCCACTTGACACCTCTTGCTATAGTCGTTGTCATCCTTGTTGAATTGCCTACCAACCACCAGGACTGTCGTCGCCCTTCAAAATGATCTCAGTAGAAATCTCCCTGCTATTGACTATATCATCTTGAACTCAAAAGAGCTGCATTGTTGCCAATACTTGACCTCAAATTCTCAATTGACTATATCATCTTGAACCAAGAGCTGATCCTTGCTAACCTTGATGGCATTCACAAGGACATGATGAGAGTTGCGTCATATCCTTTTATTTCACTCTTTTTCTGGGACATTATGAAGTGGTAGGTGTGTGATAGGAAGTGGTTGCAATTTTCTCAAAATCAACTAAAAATAATAAGAAGTTTGAAAGAATAACACACCAAAACTCTTTTTATTGCAAGATATATGAAATAAAACCGCAATATATAGTTGGATCTTCAATTGGAGAGGAAGATCCTACTCTCCCAAATCCCTAGGCATCGACTAGAGCCCTCTCAAAAAAGACTACAAAATGCACATCACCTCCCCCCAAAATAACAACATAGCTATCCTTAAATTGGCTCCCTCAATTCACTCCCAAATCAGCCCCCTTTTCCTAAATAATTCCCTCTTAGATTTTGAATTCAAATTAGATATCTTGCCCTAAATAATTTCCTCCCAATTGTAATTAAAAAATTTCTAAGCAATTACCCCTTGATTCCTCCCCAATTTTCCTAAATAATTCCATCATAGATTTTGAATTCAAATTAGATCTCTTGCCCTAAATAATTCCCTCCCAATTGTGATGAAAACTTTCCTAAACAATTTTTCCTTGATTAAGAACCTTCCAAAACAACTCCCTTTTGATTAAGAAACTTCCTAATTCCCTCCCAATCAAACCAGCACCCGTTCTCCCAAGTAAACATTCATAATTCTCTCCCAATTTTAGTCTTCTATGATAAGTAATTAATCCCCTTTGAGCCCCCCTCTCTTCTTGCTCGTCGCCCACACTAGTGGGGCCAACAAGTTCAGCCGGTCCATCAGTGTAAAGTTAGATAAGGTGTGTATTTGATCTCGAGTTTGGTTGCCTTTAAATTTGAAAATTAAAATCAGATTGGTTTCAAAATTTGTTCAAAATTTTAATAGATTTAAAATAACTTGAAATCAAATTTATATGGGAGAAATATAGGGAAAGTAAGCTCCACACATTTTAACTAGGAGTGTCAAAATCGGGTTACGGGTCGGGTTCAGGTCGAACCCGACACTGACCCACTACTATTTGACACAACCCGAACCCGACCCGTTTTCGCAAATGGGTAAAAAACTACAACTCGGACCGATCCGCCGGGTTTCCGAGTTGACCCGACCCAACACGAAACCCTAGCTGAGTGTCTTCCAGTTTGCTTGCAGGAGAAATTTTGACGTCTCGACTCTCGCATGTGGTTGTGCCATTGTGGGAATTGCGCAAGGGATGTATATATATGGGTTTATGTGGTTTGGTAAAATTCACTTACATTTGTAGTTGTACAGAGAGATAAATTGTCTATTAGTTCAGAGATACATATAAGATATAATATATTTTCCACACCCCAAATACTCTCTTTTTGGTCAACTAAATTTCCACTCTCACTTTGCACTGGCTTTATTTTACCTTACCACTCTCTTGATTATCAATACAACAACTAAAAAAATCTAAATCATAAATAAATCTCGAGTTATATTTGACATTATATTTTGATATAATGTGTAAGCTAATATTATATAATATACCCTATACTTAGATATAATGTGTAAGCTAATATTATATAATGTACCCTATACTTAATATACCTTTTTTTGGCTTTTTTTAATTGTATATTATTTAAGCTTCTTTAATTTTTTTCGATTGTTTCAATTGTA